TTAGACTGGTCAAAATTTTCTGTTCAGACAAAGGGCTGTGTTTTCTGCCAAAACTTCTCATTTTTTTTTGATACTGCTGGGAAAAGGTTGGTTTGAGGCTTTCAAGTCTTTTTTTTTTAACAAAGGTAGATACTTTCATATTGATAAAGTCTTTTGTGACCGTGTCAACAGTACATTGGGAGGCTACAAGGATTATGATCAGCACTTCATAATCCTTGTAGAGCGTCCTTCTGCTTTGCCTGGGCTAACTTCACCACTAAACTCATTTAGCTCTTTTTTTTTTTAAAAAAAACAATGGTTTTCTACCTTGAGAATGAGGTCAAATTCAAATGCTTGAATCAAGCTTTCTCTGCAAGTTCTTAACCAAGCTGAACATGGGTCCTTCAAGTTACAGAGAAACTTGTTAATGACAAAATGTTCATGAGCTTCTATAGAAAACTTTTAAACATTGTCAGGTTGGTTTAGAAATAAAAGCCAATCTCTCTCTCCCTGTACCAAATTTGCATACTTTGCTGTGATCTTACAGCACTGGCTATAAGAAAATAGGATTTTTCATGTTCTGCTATCGCTGCTCTCAGTGAGTCTTTGCAGTAATGCCAACAAAACCAAACTTGTTTGGTTTCAGCCAGGTAAAAAAGTAGCCACTGATGTGCCTTTAAGCAAACATATTAGGTGAGACACAGTAGGACTCTGCATGACAAAGTTAGAAAAGAAAAAGACAAAACCTTTTTCCAGAAACCTGAAAAGTACTCTTTAGAAAGGAGTAGCTAGGGTGAAATTGATTTCCACCTGAGGACTGGATACAAATACAATGATTTCTCTTTTATCCTCTTTATTTCAAGTTTCCAGAATTTGGTTAACTATAACAAACTGTCTTGTCATACACTCTAATTATTTTATTCTTTATATATTTTTGTAATGTCTCTGCTTTCTTTATAAAGTATGCAAGTAAAAACATGCCTTGGATCTTTATATTAACCCATCATGTTCACAGCCTCTGCAATTTACCTCAAGAGAGTGGGGATAACACTAACATCATCCTTACATTTGTCAGCTGCTCAGAACAAATATTGTTTCTTCTCAGATTCATTATTGGCACCAGGAAGGATGCTTAGATTTTCTTAGTAGAGAATAACAAATCAGAGTACAGAATAAACTAAATTTTCTTTTGCTTGTAAAACTGAAACAGACTTATTCTTTCCCATAAAACGAGAAAATACTATTTCCCTGTTTCTACAAGGCTTTTTTTCTCACTACTGAGAAATTTTGTAAGCTGTTTTGACAGGACGAATACTGCTAAACAGAAATTGCTTAATGAATGCAAAGTGAGCTTGTCAAAGTAGCCAGATGAGGTACGAAATGACAACGAAATACTTGTCACCACTTCTATTCACCCACATGGTCATTTAAAAAATTATCTCATTCAATCAGTCTACTTACTTTGAGTCTTTGAGGTTTTATGTGCTTGTCATATAAATAAAAATTACTTTTCATAACTGTTAGCCATGAAAAGTAACAAAATTGAGAATACTGCAGATCCACTGCATTCTCAACTAACAAAAATATAATTGGGAACTCAGCTGCAAACAACTGGAATGGCTTTAGACCCCCAGCGTTACTGATGGAGTCATTTAAAGTCATGGGAGCTGCAAACACGGGATGGCAGCCAGGATTTGTTCTGAAAAACTTCTATTAATAGAAATGGGCTGTAAGAAGGAGGAAGAAACCAAACCTCAGGAGCAGAATCCACTGTAAAAGTTAAAATACTTAAATAACAGTAATTCTTCTGTTCAAAACCTCATTTTGAATTCAGTAACAATAGATTTAGAGTAAATAAATCAGATATAGAAGGAAAATTACAGAAAGTAATTAAGTCTGTAAATGACATTAAGTCATTTTTTCTTTTACCTTTCAGAGTTGAATGTATTTTATGTAATTTACAGAAAAAGATCCTGCTACTCCTTTGTTATTCACATGATTAAAATAGATGCCAAGGACTTATGGAAAGGCAAAGTATCTGACTGTTAAAATGAGAAAGTGTAACAGTGAATGTTTACCATTAAAATGCTGGGTTTTTTAGGGGAATAAAAACAATGGAAAGTCTTTTTTAACAGTGTAATTAATTTTGAGTGCTGAAGTGACATTTCTACTGGCTAAATTACTCTGTTTTGCTGTTCCATGGAAGCAGAGGTGCCTCTATTCATCCATACTGTTATAGCTGCAGACTGGAGAGAACACAATACATGATGAACAGGCAGCACAATTTCAATTTTCCTTCACTTCATGGCATCTTCAGTGAGCTCAGCGTAGCTGTGAATAAAAGAGCAAAGATGGTATTTTTCTGTACCTTGGCACTGCCTTTCATTTTCATTGTACCTAGTACCTCCTAAGCTTTTAAAGTATTTGATTCCTGGGACCTACTTTCTTTCACAGTTCAGACTTGTTATGTGTAAGGATTTCAGTAATTTGACCAAAAATGTGGGTTTTAATTTCTTTAAATAAGAACAAAAGTTTGTATGGATACTCTGATTTTGATTTAGAGGTTGCCATTTTTCATAAATCAGTTAAAATTAGTAAAATGACAGGTTCAAGCTTAACCACAGTATGCAGCCCTTCAATCATGATAAAAGAATATTTTAGGTTTTTTTTAATTAAACTCTTCCCAAGCAGATACACAGAGAAATTCTGAAGTCTCAAACCACTGAAAGGCTCCAAAAACTACTTTTTTCTTTAAAGTCAAAGCTTCCAAGTCAATGTTTCTTAGGTTGCTGTATAAATGTTTCTGACTTCCTGGGCCATAAAAGCTTCCTTTCCTATCCCGTTTCTCTCCAAACTATTCAAGCCTGTGTTTCCCCAAGTTCATAGAGACTCAATGACAGATTTTAAGCCTGCTATTTTAGCAGTTACATTGCATTAGAAACAGAAGCAAACCTTTTCAAACACAGTTTGTGTGAGACATGTTAGAATGGACTGTATTTCACAAAGCAGAGGATTCATGGTTTGAAAATCCAGACTATGAAGAATCTTACTTTGGGCATCAAAAAAAAAAAAAAACAAAACAAAAGCTCTAATTACTTGCAGAGGGAAATGCCAACAAGTTTCTACTCAGCACAGAGGGATATAAACAGTTCTCCAGTAGAGTAGAAAGCATTACTGAGAAGTAGTTTTAGGCATTATTATACATATTAATACCTTTTAAAATTACATAGGTTTGCAGGTGTTTGTTTTATGTTGCTCTGAGCTACACCCAAAGCTTCAGAGACCAGAAGAGATCAACAACAGTAATAACAACGTTTAACCTTTCAAAAAGATGAATACTTCAGTTTTTTCTCAGAAAAAGTAGAACATGTTTTGGATAGGATAAAAATTCAGCAGCAGTTTTCCAGGTAACCAGTGCAATTCAAGCGTAACCTTGCCCCTTAAACTGATTTGATTCAATGTTGATAAAAACATTCATCACTCCTTACTGAAATGCTCCTTAGAAATCTTAATTTTTTTAACTATAATTTCTTCCTGTTCTTTGAAGATGATGTAAAGTAATATCTTCCACCTTTAAGTCATTAGTGGGATTTATGTCCTCTGTCCAAAGTGTGGGTTTGTCTTTTTTTTATCATGCTTGCTAATACCAGTGATTTTGGAAGGAGCAGATTAGCATCTTAATAGGCAGGATGCAATACTCGAAAAACTTTAATGGCCTTGGTGGCTGTTTGTTTTCTCCTTCCCGTTTTTCATGTATTGTTCAAATCAGATTCAGCATCTCCCCCAAGGTCAACCATCTGATCACATTTCCCAAGCAAACCCCACATTAAGAGCTATTTCTGTTGCAAAAAGTGAGTCAGCAAAATTTCCTTTATTTAAATACCTCATAAGTAGTCACTCACTTTCCAAGAAATTGTTCCTTTATTTTGTAGTTGAAGGAAGAGTTTCTCATTATACTTGCTCTGGAAACTTAGACAGAAAGAGAAAGGTGAATTATTATTAGTTGTTCCCTGAAATTTTATTTCCAAAGCTAGTTGTTATAGAAGCCATTAAGTGAGAACATAAGGACCAGAGGATACAGGACCAGAGCTGACCCTCCTAGGAATTGTTCATGTCAAGGTGAACTGATACACTGAACCTGTCTCAGTCATGGTTCTGTCCAGGTACTGGTTTTGACAGATCTATTGCCGACACCTACAGCCTGAACACCTGTTTGGTTTCCCACAATCTACCATATGAACTTCTACACACGTGTCAACACCTCTGATGAAAAACGGAAGTTTTCAGACACATTGAAGTAAAAAAGACCAGGCTTCTTGTAGCAGTTCAAAATGGCTCACAGAGCTTTGCCAGGTTCATTCATTCATGGATCTGGAGGCAGCCAGATCTGCTTTGTTATGCCAACATTAAAACGCTTCTCCAAAGAAATGAGAATAGAAGATAGTACTTTGAATCATCCTCAAAAAGAAAATAAAAAATTATTGCAAAAAAAATTAGATCTCCCGGGAGTGTTCAACTAAGGTGTACTGTTGGTTTTTTTTTTTTTTCATGTGAGTAACCTGCTGCAAAAGCAGACGTTCGCAGCACAGGGAGCCGAGGCTGTGCAGGGTGCCGGGTCCCCCCACGGGGCACTCAGCCGACCCACGGCCGAGGTCAGGGATATGCCGCAGAGTTCCAGGGCCATGCAAGGCGGCACCGCCGGGGCCCCGAACGCCATCCCGGGCCCCGACGCCCGGTCGGGCTCTGCTGCCGCCGCCCGGCCCGGGGCGGGCGCGACGGGGCCGGAGCGCTGCGGACCGGCGGATGCCCGCTGCGGACCCGCCGGGGCTGGGCCGTGACACCGCTCCCTCCGTGGTACCGGGGGCGGGTTCGCCCACCGCGCCCCGGCGGTGCCGGCCCGCAGGGCGCTGCGGCCGCGCCGCGGGGAGGCGGCGGGGGCTCGGCGGGGCGGGGGGAGGCGGCGCCGGGCGGGCGGGGCCCGGGCTCAGCGGGAGTGGGGCCGGGACCGGAGCCGCGCGAGTTGGAACGAGCGGTGGTGGCGGCAGCAGCAGCAGCATGGCTTCATCGCAAGGGAAGAACGAGCTGCTCTTCGCCGACTGGATGGCAGCGCTGCCCGGCAGCCTCCACAGCACCCCGCTCACCAACCTGGCCATTCCCGGTAGGTGCTCCCGGCTGCCCTTCCCACGGCCGGGAGAGCGACGCGCTCGGCGCGGTTCACTGCTCCGCGCACACCGCTGGGCAGGCGGCGCGCCCCTGCCGTGCTGCCGTGGGGCTCCGTGGCTGTCCCTTACCGCGGTGCTCCGTGGCTGTCCCTTACCGCGGTGCTCCGTGGCTGTCCCTTGCCGTGCGGGGCAGGTGCGGGGAGAGGCTCCCGCGGGACGCAGCTCCGGCGGCGCCGCGCTGTGCCCGGCTGGGAGGCGGCGGGAGCTGTACCTGGAGCCAGAGTGGGAAGGGAGCCTGTTCCTGCACCGCCAGACCGGCGTTAACAGCCCGATTAGCAGACCTCGCGTAGCTCCGAAATGCCACATACCTCCCGTTTCCTCGTAAACTTACGCGTCTCGGTGGGTCGGAGCGCGGCCGGGCGCAGGGCTGCGGCTGCCGGGAGGGGAGGCAGGCTGCGGCACTGCGCGGCTTCGTGCCTTGTCGCCGTGAGGAAACGTTCGATCTCAACACAAATTCAAATAAGACGAGAAATGGCAGGTGGTGGTGCTCAGGCTATGAACTCTTTCTTTCCTGCTCTCTCAGCTTTTTTTTTTTTTTTTTTGGTTAACTATAGCTGTAGACTTAGGCAAAATGCATCTTAGAATGCAAGCCAGTAATTGATTCAGATGATCTCTGGTTTGCGGGAGCACCTCGTTTTGCTAGACCTCTTTACCAACAGCTCGTCCTCTCTGAGGTGTCTAACGGGAATGACGTTAGAGAGATGCAGAAGCTTTAATACCTTTTAAGCTTCTCATGAGAAATGTTCACTTCTTGCAAGTTTTTGTGTGTTAGCCACTCATGTTACGGGAATTTTTATGATGTTAAAGACATTAAGACAATGTATTTGCAGCTACTATTTGCTAGAAGATGTTTTCTGTAGTTTCATTTAAACACAGGTGTGCCCTTCTAAAAGTATATGTCGTAGTTTCTTATAGTTTAGACAAGCTGTGTCTAGCACTTTACTTGCTACATTGTTTTTTTGCTGTTGACCGAATATATCCTGTATAAAATTATGTCCTCTTAGGCATGGGAATCCAGCGTCCTCAACTGATACATCAGCTTATGTTGGAGCTGTAAAAATCTTTTGGTTAATAACTTTTCATTAACCCGCAAACTGCAGAATGCTCTTACTGAATACTGGCTATGATAAGAAATGAGTCTGTTTCTGATTCATGGTGGCTTCTCAGGTTAAATATTTTGGAGACATTTCCTGGTTTGAGGGCATCGTGATCAAACTTCCTTGCTTCTAGATACAAAAAATTGCCTTTGATGTGCATCACCATTAAGTGGCTTCCTTGACCGAAGGAAGCATTATGGGGCATGGTTATTGGTGCATCTATCTCACCAAGATCTCTCTGTTACATTCTCACAGCCTCATTGTGAAAACTGTCCACAGTTTTTGAGAGTGGACCTTTCTCAGAGCTTGGCAATAATAATACAATAATACCTTGTTAACATGTTTAAATTAAAACAAACAAACAGAACAAAACAAACCTGCAGCGGCCAGTTAATCCCAATACAGCATTAAGCAGTGGGCAAGTTCTGTAGGCTGTTAAGTGCAGAGACTGATCCCTTACATTGGGAGAAGGATTTTGTTCACGTAACAGCCATGAATATAGGGTTACTTTTTGTGAAATTAGCAGCAAAACTTATATGACTTGAGCAGCATAGTGTTAAGACCTTTGAAATTTGTCCTTCTGTTAGTGTAAATTGACACAAACCTCTTATATGCCCGTCTCCGTTTTTAAATGCCAGCTTTGGCAAATAGAGTCGTATGGGGAGGGTGGCAATATGCTTCTTATGAATTTGTCAACTGGGGGGCCTGGCACACAGACTATAGGTATCAATGCAGTTTAAATATTATCTTCTAACATTTAGATTTATTATTATATTTAATATACAATGTGGAAATGTACAATATTAAGTACAAAGGCTAACATGGGATTGATTTCATCCTTTAAGAAGAAATAACTTTTCAGACATTCCTAATATTTGAAAGTTTTCTCCCACATGTCCACAGCTGAACATTAATGATATGTGTGCATAATAACTATTAACATATAACTAGTGTCCAAGTAGTTAATGCAAGGAATGTGTAAAATGCAAACTCTCATATGTCATATTGTCATAGTTTTAACTCATGAATTTTTAACTGTTTTGGAAAATAATGTGTAAGTACTAAGGTATTCATACAAGTACTGCCATATCATGTGAATAGCATTTTATTTACATTGCCTTTTTTTTTTTTTCCCCCAGCAGGATTTAAACTTCCCTTGCACAGTATGAATACTGTTCTTGACCTTAATTCAGCTGGAGGAAATTCAGTTATGGAGCCAGAGTCCAAAAGTCGGTCCAGTGCAAATGTTGAAGAAAACAATTATCTTGAAAATGCTAGAATGAATTTTCCAGTACAGAGGGTGTTCCACTGTATCAAGGGAGAAACGTTGTTTTATTAGAAATCACCACTACATTTTTCATTGTTTAGTAGTCGTCCTTGGAACTGAGATGATATACTGTGTTGTCTTTGCACAGACATGCTTGTATTATTTTAACTGTTGTAAAGAGAGGCACAAAACCCACAGTATTCTGTCATAACTGTATGTAAACAATATTTTGAAGGAATGTTCCGTTCATAGTATGTTTAAAAACATTGATCACACTTTTTTATTGGTCAGTTGTCAGGCTTATGCAGGCACAAATTTATATTATTTAGCACCAATTATGCTTTCATAGTCAGTGCTGGATTCTGGTATTATTTCAGTGAGTTCTTTTACTAATTTCTTTCTTCAGAGTTCAAGCCAGGTACTTTTGTTTTCCTAACTCCAAGAACCCTGTAGATGAGGCCGAGGTCTGTAATATAATGTGTGCCAGCCTTGTCCATCAGAAACTTTTCTATTTGAGTTTCTTCCAAGTATGAGGATGATGCATTATAGCATGAGGTCTTCTGCTTTCATTGTGCTGCCTGTGTCTGTGTTCTCCTACACTGCAAGTGGTAGATTTTCCTCAAGTGATACTACTAGTAGGAAATAATAGTATACATTATTTGGAAATAAAATAGTCCCTTAGTTTCCAGGAAATGCCACACATGCTTAATCTTCTATTGCTATGACAATTAGAATATTGAAAGAGTATATTCCTGGGACTTTAGGCCAAGGGGTATGTCTTCTAGTGTTTGTAAACTGCCTCTTGTGGTAAAGAATCTACCTGGCTAAACTTGCAACACTTTGGCTAAGAAAAAGATGGAGGATTTTGGTGTTTGGGGAGAGGATGTCATTCAGTAGTTGGCAGAATGTAGCTTTTTCAGTGCCTGTGCCTCTTTGATCAGGATAAGAAACAGGTTTTTGTAGGTAAGGCACGCTTATAGAACTTAAATCTTTGTGCCCCCAGATTGAGGTGGGCACAAAGGTGAGGTATGGAGAGCCTTTTTGCTCTGCTTTGTCAATATGCTCTTCTTATCTGGATTGAGCATATGAGTTATGTGCAGTGCAGTAAATAGACGTGAGTAGGCAGCATTTCCTCATGAACTGATCCACTTACTGATCGATAAACTTTCTTATTGACAGTCTGTAAATGTATCTAATTTTATATCAGTCTGAGGTTTTGTACAAATAATCTGTGTGATACATGTTGCCTTTTTCACCGGTGCTAATATTCCAAGCCTCTGAGAAGTCCATAATAATAATTTGTCATGGAAAAGAGTATTTACCTCCTCAGGTAACTAGTCCCTCCACCAAAATTGGTGCTAGCCTAAGATGTGTCGTATGAGCAGTCTGTGCTAGAGACATGTCTGTCCTTCATAAAGTGTAGGTAAAGTCTTCTGAATTAATTTAACACCCAGAATATCCCTTGAGTGCATAACTTTGACGGTTGTTCTTCAGGCTTTTGTTTCCTAGGAGAAGTCCCTGCTTTCTTTGAGCAGATGAAACTTCTGACCTCAGCATGTTCTCTTATTGCTCAAGGATGCACAATTCTCAGTGCCATTTATTTTCACAGTGACACTAGCTTGGCTGCTAAATGTGCCAAGGTGCTAATGTAGTTCCTTAAAAGGAATGCACAGGATCTGATTGGCATCTCTTGTTTTCAGATTAATTTTTTTTTTGTTTATTTGTATTTTGACATATAAAGTTCTCTGCACATCAGCTGGAAAGCGACTGCTAGACACAGCAGAGCTAACTTGGCTCCTCTTAAATAAGAAACTGTTACCAGGTGGAATTTTTTACCATTAGCCATCTTTAGAAGAAACCTCTGTGACTTGAATTTTGTATTTTCCACTGTCATGCTTTGAAAAGAAAACAAGACCTCATAGGGAGTTATTTTATGAAAATAAAGCATGTATGTCAGTGTCAAAGGTGTATTAGAAGATGGAAGATGGTATGGGGAGGCTTGGGAAAAGCATATGTGTTAGTGTAGCTGGAATATTTTAGCCATTTTTGTGAATAACAGCACTGCCGAGTTAACATAACAGCTCTGTTTTGAATACTTGTAATAGCTTGCAAATTTTCAAGTGATTACTTTGGTTCTTGGACAGACACTTCTCAGCCCCGTGGGGAAGTTCTTTCATCTATGAAAAGGCTAGAAGTTCTTCTTTGTTGGTTACGTAGGCACACAACATTTTCACTGTTTAAATGTTATTAGGAAGCTATTTAATTTTGAGCTTCAACATCCGATGATTTGGATTTGGATTAAAAGTGAAGAGTGATTGTCTTTGAGAAGCACTTGGGACCTGTTTCACCCTTGTGTGTCCACTGCGATTAACAGAGTACCTCTGCTTCGTGTGCCAGGGTCTGATTCTGTACAAAATGAGCTCTGTCTAGAACTGTGGACTGATGATGCAGGTAAATTTATAAATAAGCCCATCATGCAAGTCACCCCTAAGCTTTTGACATGCATATAAGTATCTGGAAGAGCTGTTTCTTTTTCCAGTGCGTGCTGTACTAGTTTTTTGGTGTTCTTCTA